TCTCTTGCTTTGTTGGAATGAAAACCTGCAGCCACACCAGCCCTTTGTGGATAAGATTGGACGCCCCTGAGCTAAACTGTCCAAGCAAGTCACCTTCCTATATAAGAAAAAACATATAATGCCATTTGTTGTAGTTTTGAACTTTCTCAGTTGTTTTTCTCAATAGGTGCGGCATAAAATGCTTTATGCTGCTACCAGAGCTACGGTGAAGAAAGAGTTTGGAGGTGGCCATATTAAAGATGAGATTTTTGGCACTGTAAAGGTGAGTAGAGTACATTAGAATAAGAAACACTCTGTGATAAGTACACAGTGAGCTCTTGATTAATGATAAGGCAGAGGACAGTCAGCAGCTTCATTACTTGTGGTACAGACATGGTTAGACTATTGTGATTCTAAAACAATGGCGACTCTGGTTTCTTATAAAGCTGAAGGAAGGAGAAGCATGTGACCCCTCTCATAATAATAAAACAAAGGAAACAAAAGTGTCTACAGCTACAATTTTTGTCTCATTGTTTATAAAGAATGGGTTCAAGGCCCCTTAAATACTGCCTCATTAGGGGCAGGTAAAGGGAACAAACATGGGGGCCTGGCCCAAAGAGATGATGGAAAGAACATTTTTACAAACATCACAGAATGGGCCATTAAATGATCTTAATTGTTTTAAACAGCGTTGGCCTTTAATATTGTAATATCATTTTAGAACAACCAATTCAGATGAAGCCATTTTCAGGAATTGAAAACCTACAGTTTCACCTTTGAATTTCTTTGAGCTTGAAGTTTTCCAAATCCTTATGGCATAAAGATTCATAACGATAAGTTGGTGTAAACAGTGCCCCTCCCCCCTTTTTAAATTGTTCTTCTTCAGGATGATGTTTCTCTTAACGGATACAAGAGGCACATCACTTCACAGTCTGCTCCTCTTCCCCTCACTGCTGCCGAAGAGGAACTGCGACAGATTAAGCTCAGTGAGGTACACACACACACACACATATCTCTCACCATCACTGAAGTCTGTAACCTTGACTGTGAAATCTGAATATAGCTTTAAAATGAGCAACACTTTTGGAAATTGATAAAATCATTCACTGAAGTGATTTGACTGCTGTTACTGCAGCTCCAGGAAAAGTGTTTATCAAAATAAAATATGTATCTAACGTATCTGAAGTAGAATGTTGCTCTAATAATACATCAGACTTCTACATTTCTATGTATTTTCCTATTGTCTAATGTGTTTACATTGCTCATCTTATTGACCAGTTGCTGTATGCCTCCACAGCACAATACCCCAGGCACTTGCAAAGAGCAGTTTGTTTTAGCCTCTTGCCCTTGTAATTGCTGAGTTCCTAGTTTTGAATGGGAATAGTGTGTGGCGAACTCACACCATATAAGGAAATGTGCTGAAAGAGCCACGCCTCCTCTCTTCCCGGAAGTTAGCCAATCAGAGAGGGAGAAAATGTAAAAAGGAAGTCAGACTGCCTTTTCTGTCACAGCCAACAGAGAACATATAATGCTAGACTAGTTGCATTACATGGCACAAAACACTGCAGTTCTTCATTTATATCTGACAAAGCTCGTTTTCTTTTGTAAAAAAGGATAGTATGTATTTTTTATGCAGTTGCTGCTGTGCAGGTTATTTCAAAGAAGAACAAAAAAGTTATGACTGAAAATTGTCTAAATATGCTGAAGATTGTGTCCTAAAATTGTAGTCAGACTGGTCACTCCTGTAAAAACACAGTCATGACACAGTAAATTGATTGACATTTCTTTAATCTATGCACAGATCACTTGTTAAATTGTTAAAGAAACAGGTAGTAGTTGTATTAATTGTAGTAGTTTGCTTGTTTTGGGTTTCTGCTTCATTTCAAGTACACTGATTTATGTGCTGAACCTGACTGTTTTTTCTGCAGGTGCAAACTGACATCAGTGTGGACACCAAGCAGCAGACCCTGCAGGGTGTTGCTTTCCCTTTGCACGGAGACGCAATGGAAGCACTGCAGAAGTTTAGGGACAAGACGTTTAACTACGTTCAGCTGGTAAGGCAGTTATATCTGCCCCTCCCACCATTTCACTAAGGAATCTCAGAGGTGTTTTCTAGAAATTTTTCAAAAAGCTTTGCTGTGCAGGTATTGAAGTTTAGAAAGGAGCGGGTCAGCACTGCACTTTGTGGCAAGCATCTCAGTAAGAGTTAGACGCTTGATTTGGTTTCAGATTCCCCTTTCTGCAGTAGGTAACCATATTTGGTAAGACAAAAACTGATTGTAGGAGTACACTCTTCCCTTCAGCTGTGTTTTTCCTGTTCTATTACACCTGAGTTAGTTAGCAAAAATATAAAAAGGGCGGTACATGAGGTCCCCAGCTGGGTGTAGAAAATAATGCTGAAACACTGGTCAGTAATGAAGCTCATTAGTGATCTTGGATCAGTAGTGAAGTGAGTTTTTAATAGTGCTCAAATAGAGAAAAGAAATCGTAATAGGCAGATTTTCATTCTAATGTAAATAAAAATGTATCTGTTATTCATCAACAGAAAATAGATTTTGACAAGGAGCTCATCATGTTGTCAAACACTGACCGGACAGAAGTGAGAGATTTACCCAAGAGGATTCCTAAAGATGCTGCGCGTTACCACTTCTTCCTCTACAAGCATTCACACGAGGGAGACCACCTGGAATCTATAGGTGAATATCTTTGCTCATGATATTGGTGGAAGATTATAGGTAAGGAGGGCAGTGTTGCCAGATTGGACAGTTTCCTGACAAATTTTTGGTGGGTTCAGTGGCAGGGGTTTAGAAGGATGCTTTGGCTAAGTTTTTTGAGTGAAACTGTGGGTGCAGTGTGGCCACCCTGAAGGAAAGTGATTCCAACATTTTGGTATCGTTATTGCTGAGGCCTTTAAAATCTTTTCTGATTTTGCTTTGTGAATGCGAAGCTTGTTTATCGTGCATTTTTCTTGTAATAACAACATTTTTTGTCTGCTGCAGTGTTTATCTACTCAATGCCTGGCTACAGCTGCAGCATTAAAGAAAGAATGCTTTACTCCAGCTGTAAGAGTCCTCTCATAGACATGGTGGAGAGCAAACTGCAGATGGAGATAGAAAAAAAGGTATGAGATCTTGAACAGATGAGGCTTTTTGATTATTTTGCTTTGTCGATAATACTGGTTGCAAAAGGAATATATCTTGTTGCCTTTTAATTATTGCTGTGGGTTGTAAACATCTTTCATTTCTATGCCTCTCTCGCTTATAGATGGAAATTGATAATGGTGATGAGTTGACCGCTGACTTCCTGTATGAGGAGGTCCACCCCAAACAGCATGCTCACAAGCAGGCCTTTGCCAAGCCCAAAGGTCCTGCTGGAAGGAGAGGGGATCGCAGGATCACTCGGCAGCGTGGGGATGGGGAGGATGCTGATGATTAAATGCACACTTGGCCAAACTCCCCTCTCTCCGCGCTTCAGTGGAACATTCCAGACGATGGAAGCCAAGCCTGTTTCACACAAAGCTCTCTACCTTTATAAAATATATATGTTTCCCCCAATTCAACACAAGGCCACAAAGACAGCCACCTCATGATGAACTATGCACACAATGGAACACACTGACATGGTGGTTTGACCTCTGTAGCCTCACTCATGGTATTTGTTAGAAAAGTATTATTATGTGAGCAAGAGTGTTCGCTCATCGTTAGGATTAAGTCAGGAATCAAACATTTCTCCAAGTGCAGATTCATAAAATATATGTGTCACATTTAAAGATTCATGCTTAAATTTGGTAAAAACAGCATGAACAGCACTGGTGGAACATTGTCCATTTTAGACATGCGCTATTTACTCAGATGGATTATACCACTTTGACAATAAGTCATAAAAAAAATCATGAATTTACATTGTGCAAAGGTCAGTAAGTGCAGTATGAATTGTTACATTATTGGATGGTTACTGTTTTAGCATGAAAGTGTAAGTTCATAAATGTGAACAAGAACAAAGAGACCTCCACCAAACCCCGTTCCTTTATTTTTCCATTCCAGCTTTAATGTCTGTCATATTTTTGTATTTTTACACACGAGGCCTAAGTTCTAGATGTCTTACAACAAACACAGCTGTAAGATGTCACTTATTATGGACTGTGTTTGGACACCAATATTTTAACATTCAGCATTGCTTTTTATAACATAATAAAAAGTCCCATTTTTGATACGACTGTCACTTTGATGTTCCCATTTGCCAAGAAACATATTTTCCTATGCAAGTGATGTATATACTGAGTCAGTCAATGCTCTGTTATTTGTTATCTGATTTTTGTCATGTTTTGATTGTCTATGTAGCCATGGCATGGGTTATATTGGAAGTCACAGCCAGGGTTGGGGTCAGTTTCAGTGAAATAAATCCAGTTAACCCTGATGTGTCCAAACATTTTGACACAATGATAAGAAATGCAACCTGTGCAGTGAAATTGGTTTATATTGCACTAGATAATGCAACAGAAGTTTGGGCAGCCCAGTGATAGGGAGAAAAATTGGCTCCAGAACTTGTATTCAGTGTGTAAAAAGTGTGAATAGAAATGGATGGTTTTACATTAGTTTACTTAAAATGAGTAAAATGAAAGAACCCCAACTCTGATGTCCATTAAAGGTCCCTGAGTTGCTCATCACTGAAAAACTGCAATAGCTACTGCTGCTTTTTATAAAGCACTGCTGTGTGCTCTGCACACCGTAGCACAAGGTGTCAGGAAAAATAATAGTGTGACAAAATACAAGCCACCATGGGCACCTGCATCTACTGAAAATGCGAGGCAATCCACTGTTAATCAACTGTTATCTTTACAATAAGGCAATGCCTTTCCCATGTAAATGGACCTATATAGTGTCTTTGTCTCATGTCTGGTGGTCGTGAGAATGCTTTTCTCTGTACAATGTTTTTTAAAAGAAAAATAAAATATTTAAATCACTAATAATTACTTCTTTATTACATAATATCAGACCAAATCACTCACCACTGGTTTGAAGATTCTTTAATAAGCCTGCTGAGAATTAGTATTATAAAAGCTCTGTTCTAACATACATACAAATATTTACATTTTTCAAAAAAAATTAAACCTAAAATCAAGAATTTTACATCTAACATAATATGAGAGGTGTTTTCAGTCTCAGTTCTGCTTTAAGTGAGTAAGATCCTCCAGCTCAGCAGCCACCTACAGATGAAAAGACAAAAAAAGTATAAGTAAATCCAATGAAGCATGTTGTGATGCTGGAGTGACGTTGATGTATTTAAAATCCTTGTGCCAGTTATGTAAAATTAATGTATTTATAGCACACGTTAATGCTGTGTTTTATCCTAAAGCAATTTTTGTTTATTTTCACACTGCAATTGACATTTGGCACATTTGCACAGGATCCAGTGACACATTACACTGAGGCCCTGAAGGAAGAATAGAGTATGTGCTGTATTTATAGGTTTAAATTCTGTGTTACAGAAGGTTTTTTTGAGTTTATAACAATGAACTGCTCCTGAGGGCCAGGGGGTTTAGTGGTTTGGTATTTTTGAGCTGGTTCTTTGTGTCTGTTCCAACTTATCAAACCTCAGAAAAATGTGATGCATAACGTGCATTGAGAAAATGTCTGATACCGCCGAGCCCTACTTCCCACCCCTAATCGGCAGCTACCTCAGGCGCCCAACAGGAACAGGAGAGATCAGAGAATTCATTCCTTCCAGTAACTTGAGTGTAAAAATCCTTACACTTTCTTTTATGTACTTTCTTTTAAGCCGGGAATTTGTGTGCACTAGATACAGTAGCTATAGAGAGATATAAAGACAGAAGATGCTGTGTTAAAACGACACAAAAATACACACCTCCTTCAGCTGAGGCCTCCTGTTCTTCCCTTCTTTCAGACACTGGCTAGCCACAGTAAACATCTTCTCCACAGACTCCATATCCCAGTCTTCCATTCTCTTATCTACAAACTCCTCCAGTGTAATCTCCTCATCCTCTATCTCATCCTTCATCTCCAACTGAGAAAGACATTAAACATCACAATACAGAAACATACAGGAGACACGTTACAAAGACATACAGGACGCAAATTATTTGGACCATGGCTCTTTAAAACAGAATGTGTTCTTTAGGGAATTAAAGAGTTCTTTTAGAATCCTTTATTTTAAAAAGTATCATACATTAATGACTGAGACTGATTGTGTGTGGAAAGTATTAGGAAAATCAGAACTCACCAGAAGCTTTGGGTCCCGGTTTTCCTCAACTGGAGGAAGTCCAGACACTATTTCCAGCAGCACCTGCAAAAGTCAGCCAGGTTTAACTTATTCTCAGTGAACTAAACATATGCTCTATTCATTAAATACCTAAGTGGCTAGTAAAATGCTGGCTGTGGCTTTTTCCGCTGTAGTGGCCTTGAGACCAAACTGTTGGCAGTGTGACTCACTTCTGCCTCATGGTCTGAAGCTGTCATACTAAAACTGTTCAAAATGCTACAATGTGATGCGGCAAGTTACAGTGGCTAGGGAGTTTCTCACTGCTTTCCTTTGGTTGAGGACATTTTCTGATGTTTCTGATATATTCTCTCTGCTATATATCTGTATCTCCCTACATGCATGAGAACATACCACTCCAAAGCTGAACACATCTGATTTGGGGGTGATCTCTCCTCGCAGTGCCTCTGGTGCCATGTAGGCCGTCGTACCCACAATTCTCTCTGTTATCACCGTTGTGCATGAGCGCTTAGCCGAGGCACGGGTTAACCCAAAATCTGAAATCTTCGGGACGAATGATTCATCCAATAAAATATTTCCACTGTTGCATGAAACCAAAAAGAACAATTAGGGGAAACATTAGTTAAGATTATTTTAGTTCAAATGTCACTACTGGAGATGATGTGTGTGAGACATAGCAGGGATTTTTAATGCAAAATGCTGAAACAGTTCCAAAGACATGTAATATATTGTCACTTCCATATCAATACCTCAACATTTTTGTACATTATGTGTGAATGCCAACTGCTCTCTACATTGTGTAAACATTATATTACAGACTGGCCAACAGAAATGGACTAAAATGACCTTTATCACACATTAAAAATGAGGAATGTTTCTTTTCTCCTGTAAAGTTACCATTTTAGAGAAACAAGTCTTCTATCTGTTCATTTCCCGTCAAGCTGTAAACATACACATCAATGAGAACAATCTGCTAAACCCTAACAAAGCACATAATGTTGCCCCCTTCATATGCAAAAGATGGACTGAGTTCAGTGAAATAGTTTAATACCTTTTTACATCTCGATGGATGTGGTTGTGTTGGTGAAGGTACTCCAGTCCTCTGGCTGTTCCCAGTGCTATTGCACACCTCACTCGCCAAGAGAGAGGAGAGCTTCCTGCCTGCATAAAGAGTTCATCTATGAATGTGCCCTTATTAAACCTTTAGATAGCCTCTGTTTATTATGTCTTTGTATAAAATAAAATATCTTTGTGCCTAATAAACATAATGAAAGGGTTATTTACAGGTGGAAGAATGATGCCAGCCCTGCAGTAACATATAAAACATCCTTTGGGAATATCTGGATTGGCGTGATCTACAGCAATAACATAGTAGTAAACTACCTCAAAGTCAAACCTACATAGTTATAGGTACACGGTGAAAACTGCGGAGTTATAAGTACACAGTTGCTTTTTCAAAACTATCCCAAAGAAATAAGACCAAATATCAGAGACCTGTCAATCCTTTCTGTAGTGTATAATCAGTTGCTGTTCACAACATTTAGAGACTTTACTTACCAAACATGCTAGACGATCCAATAACGAACCATTAGACATATAAGCATAGACTAAACATGGGTGCTGGCCATCACTGGAGTAACCAACCATATTCACTAGATTCACATGTTTCAAGCTGAAAAAACACAAGAAATCATAATAACATCACTGCAACAAGATCAGTCATGGCCAAAAAAGGGGAGACAAAGTTTACTGCTATCATCACCTCTTCAGTGTCTGTATCTCTTGTTTGAACTGAGTCTTCAGTTCTTCTGGAGACAAGTCATCTTCCTGTTAGCGGAGAGCAGAGGCAGAATCTTAGATTTTAAGCAGTGGAGCAGAAGCGATGACCTCACTGTAACACCCTATATATGTTGTTGGTCACATCATGCATATTTATATTGTCTATACAGTGCCATGTAGAACACAATTATTACAATTAGTACAACGCAGAAGACTCCTGCCAATTATTTACAATCAGACATGGGCCTGATGAGGCCTCTGACATACAGAGCTACAGTTCTGTAATGTAAATTAAGATACTATACATTTTCAACATAAGGACATCTTACACTTCACTATCAACATATCATCAGGTCTACATACATTCTAATTTCTATGTCAGGTTTGTCACTTTTTCCAGGGTCAACAAAGGGATTTTACATATGTTCTGTTTTTATATATAATGGATCAGAACGTGAAGAAGTTTATTAAGCTTATTGTTATCTTACATTTTTATTGTAGATGTAATTCCATTAAGCAAAACAGATCTTCAGAGGTACTAATTTTGTACTATTATGGATTTTAATTCTTTTTAAAAATATGAATGAGTAAAAAATGACATAAGCGGCACATTAAAAAAAAATCTTGCATTCGAATTGAAATATATGTTATTTGTTTATTCAAACTTTTTTGTTAATTTTCATAAACAAAGCATGACTGTATATTCATCAACCAAATACTTACCAAATTGAGTTTCTTTACTGCTACAGCTGTGCTGTAGAGGAGGCCTTTGAACACAGTTCCGAACCCACCCTCCCCCAGCTTCCTGCCCCCGTCTGAAACTGGCCTGTCATCCCAGCTCCCTGTGATCTGCGTCAGCTCTTCATATGTGAAAGTATAGAATCCTGAATTCAAGAAGGTTTAGAAAGCGATTATTTCAAATCATGCATTATAAAAACAGTTATAATCATTGTACTTTAAAAGTGTGCATCTACAAAGCATCTACCATATTATTAAAATAACATGTTGCTGTAATTATTAATGAAGGATTACAAAGAGCAACATTCAAGTAAAGTTTTTGCTTTTGTTTTCTTTGATTAAAATTTCAAGTACCGTAGATAACATGTATCTATTGGCATGATAATATGGTTTAGGCTCAAAGTTTGTGCTGGGGAACACAGATAAACCGCTGATCAGACACAAAGTGGAGACATTTGTATCATCAGACATGGTGTGCTTGAAAGTTACTGAATGGTAATCAAAGTAGATTATTTGATATGAATAATGTTATAAAGAGTTACATAAAATGTTTACGGAGTTAATAGGAGTAAACAGAAAGGCTGACAATCAAAATCACTGTAGGACTTAAAGGATTCGTCATCTGATTAGTGGGAAGGGTTTGCAGACCATCTGAAAATGTTCCTCTCAAGTTTGCTTTTGAACTAAGACTGAACTTCTGTTCACAGTACTGGCCTCCTCTGGACTGAAATCAGACAGTGGCTTTAGGTCACATATTTCTGTTATTGCAGAAGCAAAGTTATGCTGCCACTGGTCAGTATAAATGTACGATTACAGTCATACCTTCATCGTTAGGTTCCTGATTTTCCTCTGGTTCTGTGGTGCTGTCAGGTGGTATGTAAGGTGTTTCTTCTACTGCTGGTGATTTAGTCAGTATCCCCGCACAAAGTTGAGTCTCTTCTTGGTAAAGAGTAGGAGGATCCTCTTTTGCTTCTCTTCTGCTGTTTGTGGCAGCAGGTGGTGCAGCTACATCTGTTTTCAGAAGCACATATTAACTATTTTTACAAAATCACACTTTTGACATTACTGTAACAGTAGTTTTCTACTTCTATAACTGAAAACATATTTATAGCCCTAAGTGAAACAGTCCTAGTATTTTGCAATATAGCCATCAGTACTGTTACTGTTAACAGGCTGATGCTGTTTATTTGAAAGATTGTGTTACCTGGCAGAAGGACTCTAGCAGGAGCTAATAACTTGTGTCTGACAAGAATTTCAACCAGTTCTCCCACTGTGCTGTTTGTGGTCCCCCAGTCATACAACAGCTCTACTGTCGGACTTTTACCTTGGGCCACCAATCTTTCAAATCTCCTGTGAAAAGAAAAAAAACTTTGTTTATGAAAATATTGTCAAGTCTGCAAAGTCTGCCCTGATACCAAGACGATAGTGGGCCACTGTTGGCCAGCTGACGACAAAGCTGGTGGACGATGGGCATTTTGCTCAGCATTTTCCAGGTGGTCTACCAGTGGTTACACAGAGTATTAGACAAAACTCTACTTATAATCACTTTCCACTCGCAGTCCTATTTCCTTATTTTTCCCTCCTTCCTTTCTTTAGTTGTACTTTGTAAATTAGTTTAGAGAATACATTTAATCTAGCACAGTGTCAGCAACATCATATTCTATAAAATCATTTATATCATTTATATCATATATATCAGGCCTAGTCATTATTTTTCTCTCAGTTGTTTGTAATATTTGTCTTAGTTTATTTTCTAAAATAAAAGGCTGCATGAATTTAAAATCTGTTTGAGGAGATTAAAAACTAGTTAGAGCTTGTATGCAGGACAACAACCTGGATGGTCTGAGGGCGGACCAGCAGTGGCAAACAGTCAGCAGGGCGCTATGCGGGTGTTAGTCTCACAGGTGAAGGACAGTCAAGCGGTAGCAATAAGCTGACTGGTGCCTAAGAAATGTGTGATTACCCATAGATAGAGGTAGATAGATGGTGGAATGGATGGACGGATGGATAGACAGATAGAATAGAGATGGCATATCAATGGGTTTGCTGTATCAGCTATCAGATATATCAGATCAGTATCAGCCGATACTCATTTTATAGGTTTTAATATTGTTATCGGTACCAGAAAAGAAAAAGTTGTACTGAACCATGTCTGATAGATAGATAGATAGATAGATAGACAGACAGACAGATAGTGAATTTAGCTACTTTGAAGTGCACCCGCTGCTAACACAGATGTTCAACTGCACACACTCAGTTTGTATAATGTATACAGAAAGGCATGGCTAGTAGAATGGGACACTCTGAATCAGCCGTCAGAGCAGTGTTTCTCAGCCCTGGTCATGGAGGCCCATTTCCCTGCACATTTTAGTGCTTTCCCTCCCTCCAATACACCTGATCCAACTAATCAGCTTGTTAACAGCACCTTACTGAGTTCAAGTGGGTGAGTTAAGGCAGGAAAAGCAGTCAAAAGTGCAGAGCAGTGGGCCTCCAGGACCTGGGTCAGAAACACTCAGCTGGGGGGATATAAAGCATTGGTCTGCAGAGCAGTGGAACTGTGTTGTCTGGAGTCATGGGAGCTCCATCCAGTACCTTTGGGATGAGCTGGAGTGGCCTTTATGATCCAGAACTAATCATCTGAATGCAATCAAATCCTCACAGCGATGTTCCAACACCATAATATCCAGGTTCTGGCTAACAGTGAGGCTGTCGCTGCCTTCTTACTGCATCATTACTGAAGCACAGAGCTCAGGTGAAGCAGGGCAGCGACGAGGCGTCCTTATAATAACACACGTTCTCTAAAGCTCCTGTCTTACCTGAGGTGGAACTGAGAGTACCTCGGCTCCCCTGTGGGTTTCTGGATGTCCACCAGAACAGTTTTCCACGCGTCCTGCGGGTCCAGAAAGTCTGAGAGCTTCCTCAGGGTGGACTGACTCAGCTTTCTGATGAAGGTGTCTGCCGTCACAGCGCTGCTCATACTGACCCGATCCAGAACCCAGGTAAAACACTATGACATTAACTCTGAGAGTAAGAGCGAACACATCTGGCCCGCATACTCTAAGGCCTTTGCGATATTGTGAAACTTCCTCAGTTTGAAGTCATTTCCCTTTTAGCTAACCTACATCGCCCCTTCACGCGGAAACGAGCCCCTCCTCATACATTCATACTGTATGTGAGACAGACATAGTTAAAAACTGTATATCTCTATTTGTGAAGCATAACACAAGCGTGTCTGTTCAGCCGAGAGAAGTCTCAACACAGTGATAATGAGTTTGACATAGTGAGCAGTGGGAGGCAGATATCGATGGTGTTAGGATGGAGCTCCATTCCGCCCTCCAGTGGTGGTAGTTTGTAACAGATCATTGTACTTCTCAGGTCACAGAACTGCACTATATCCAGCATATATATCCTGCTTTAGACTGGAATGACTACATACTAAGTGTATGTACTTTAAAGTAAGTCAGTGTGATAGAATGGTGAGTAATCGTGAAGGAGTAGGTGTGAGCAGAAAACACACATGAGAACAACTCTAGTTTTTTCTTTTCTTCTCCACAGCAGTAAACAAGTCCATCCATTCTGTCATTCAGTAAAGGCCTTCTGAAGAGGCGGGTGTAGCAGGCTGTGGATTCCTCAGGAAGGCAGATGTCCAGGTTTGTGGTTGGTGACCTCCGCTGTACAGCTTGCACTGGTTCACTAAAACTATGACTAAAACAAAAAAATCCGCTTGCCAACTGTAATAAAAATAAAAATGACAGTTTTCAAACACACGGAAACTAAATCAAAACTATAACCAAACTATAACCACTGCAAAACTAACAAAAACAAAAACAAAAGTAAACAAAACTAAAACTGAATTACTGAGGAAAAAAAAACTTTAGTTTAACTTTTTTTTGTGTGTGTGTGAAGGATCACTTCTGTGTTTGGCTGTCTTTAAGGAAAGCTGGATCCAGGCAGAGCTCAGTCTATTGTTGTTGCTAAGATTTTTTACCCCAGCACTGTATCACTCATTAACCACAGTGGACGCCTCACACTTTAAACCTAAACTAAACCATCAAACCTCCTTACCGTGTTACAGTAACTCCTCTGTAACAAAATGCTTATTTGCACAACTCTAAAGACTTTAACTTCTGCAAATATTCATAACATTCTGTAATATTCTGTATATAATAGTTTTGATAGTATATGTCAGCACATGTATAAGTATTTGTATAAAATACTTACATGTATAAAGTTTGGATTTTGATTCTGCCCTTATCAAATACCTACTGTCACAGTGCTTATCATCATACTACAAACTAAAACTAAAACTGAAACTAAATAAAACTGAACTAAAATATCACAGAAAATAACAACAAAACTAAAGTATCAATGTGTCCTTAAGAATAACTGAAACTAAACTGAAATCAAAAACTAACATGAAAAACTAAATAAAAAATAAAATGTAATGAAAATTTCAAAGCTATAATGAGCCAGTTCAGTGCTACTCAAAATGTATTTGTTTCTACTTGTGTGTATCGTCATGTTCTTTCTGTCGAGAGTCCCATTTGTCAAACATGCAAAAAACAAGCCCACTAAACACACTAAATGCACGCTTTCCCAAATGGTGTTGGGCTAAAGCTGGCAGCATACTTCAAATGAAAGAACTAAACGAAATCCAACTACCACCACACACATGCAGTGCAGTGACGCTGGCAACCATGTGACACCATAAAGACCAATCACAGTGGAGGTCTCAGAGCAAACAACACTGATTAGATTAGCTCTGTTTAGCAAGCAGCACACACTGCCCACATTACAAACACGAACCACCGCATCCATATATCCTTATATCCATAGACCAGATATCCCCTCAGTGTTGGTCCCACAGTTCAGCATGTTAGCGTTACTGTGCCCTTAGGCAAAACCACAAACAACTGTGACTTTAGGCCAGGCCATATATGTTTCTTCACTCTAAAACAGGGGGGCCAAACTGAGTTCCTTCCTGGCAACAGCTCTGCAGTTAAACACACCTGATTCAACTGATTCAGCTAATTAGCAAAGCCTTCAGAGCCGTTCAGAACATAAAGCTTTAAAAGAAGGAAAACACTAATCTCTGCAGGTTGCTGTGGTCGGAAAAAAACCCAGTTTACACCTCTGTTCTAAAACCAAAGTAACCAATAAAATGATAATTAAATTCAGGCGTATAACTCCATGTAGGTTGTAGTTGTAGCTGAGAGAGAGAGAGAGGGAGAGAGAGAGAGAGAGAGATTGATTCATTTTGTGACAACTGATAAGTGCTTGGCAATTGTTATGGAGGAATGGTAATGGTAAATTTTTCATTTTGTAAGGCATGCTTGATATGTTCAGCCTAAAGGGAGCTGTGTGTGTGATTTCTTCCACATGCTAGTTTTGGGTGGTCAGAATGAGACAGAGACGGCAGTAACTGTGGATGGAAAGTATTAAAGACTTGGCTCTTGTGTTGTATTGGAACAGTTTGCATTTTTGTACTATTGTGAACACAGAATGTATACCAATGTGTTGGCCTTTCCAGGTTTAGGACAAAGCCCTACCACAGTATTAACCATAACCTTATGCCTACTTTATATTTGCATGGGATATTATGTTTAGGGCCCTTTTGCTCTACTACAAAGAAATGTCACTTTCAGTATCAGGCTGTCTGATTTGCCCAGAGTTTGGAACTGAAACAGGAAGTGTCCAGCTCCACCACACCCTTGTTTGGGCCAGAATATAAGGCACATATAGACATCTGACAACCTAAAAGAAAAACCTAAATAAATGAGCGGAGAAACGTAAGAAGTGCAGATGCTTCCAGACAGGTGTACTGTATAATATAGTTAACCAATTAACATCCTACCATTCGCTGAGGCATGTATAAAAATGCTGAGCAGGCCCAGCTGACCTTGATTTTGGATCTAGAAGGCAAAATGAAAAGATCTAAGTGACTTTAAATGAGGGTTCATTATTGGGGCATGGATGGCAGGAGCTTCAGCTTCTCTGAAGCACTGGCTGGTGTTTCAATAGTACCTGCTACTAAAGTGCTGCATTTAGATCTGTGGGAAAGACGTCTGCAATATGGGTTGGAAATTGTGGTGGAAAGCACACATTCAGTGAGTGTGATGCTCGTTTATTAGTGCGATGTGTAAGGAAAAACAGAAGAGCATTTTGTTCCTCAGGTAACTGTTAATGTTAGTGCAGGATATGTCTGCAAGAGCAGTCTATCTACAACTACACAGAGAGGGATATTATAGAAGAGCCGCAGTATATAAACCCCTCATTACAAAGATGAATGCACATTTGAGAGAGTGTGGAGAAAAGTGAAATGATCAGTATATTCACTTTATTCTCCACAAGTGTGTGAGTGCTTGTGTGGCGTACATCAGGAGAACAGTACAGGCCTGAGTGCTTGACCCCTGTGGAAGTGGTGAATCTGGTGGCTGTGTTATGCTGTGGGCAGCATTTTGCTGGCATGGTTTGTGTTCACTTGTCCCCGTAGAGAGAAGAGTCACTGCAAATCAGTACAAAGATATTCTGACTGATAACATTTAATCTATGTTAAAACATTTCTCTTCTAGGATGACAATGTCCCCATCCACAGGGCACGAGGGGTGGTTTGATGAAAATAATGTACATCATACGCTATGACCTCATCTGAGCAAATGTTGGAAAGGACTGTCCACCACCATCATCAAAACACCCATTGAGGGAATATATTTTGGAAGAATAGTGTCCCATTTCACAGAGAACAATATAGCTTTGCAAAACGTATTTAAGATTTTATTTTGAGTCATGCATATGTGTTCATTGTTCATTACCAGTAGAGGGCAGTACATGACTGTGAGTGCTGATAACACTACTGCACCATAGCCGTTCATCAAGTGTGCATCTCCTTAGCCTTCATTTAGGAGTGCTTCATTGCTTGTGTTCAAATACAGAACTTTTGGGTATAAATGCCCCAAACAGAGGAATAACAACATTCCCTTTTCTGCATATGTCCTCAGCCTTTCAATTACTTACTAAAACAAAATGTCTTTGACACAAAAAAACAGAATTAACCAGAAAGACAGCATAAAGAGAACATGGAGCATGAAAGAGATCTGATTTATTTAGCAAGTGTTACAACCAGTAATTGAGATCAGACTGAGAGAGAGAGGGGAGGGAGGAGGGGGTGAGGAAGCCCTCCTGTTGCTAGAAAATAAGAGATCCGGCGAAGAGATGCCAGAACAGGTTAAATCACCACCAGAGGAAAAACACTCCGCACAAGAAATTGGTCAGAGCTGGTCATGTGATGTCAGCAGGACCCCAGTTACGACTAAACAGAGGTGTGGTGCACTGGGCTGTAGAGCAGTAACCACAGCAACAGCAGGGTGAGTCCACAGTACACACTCTCACGTCTTATGGTGTAAGAGTGTCCTGCTGTACATTCACTGCATCTGCTGCAGAGTTTCAGTGCAGCAGATGGAATTTCAGTGCTGTCACACACTGTATATAAGCATACACTGCAGTTATATTTTGGATATGAGTAAATACATGTACTTCTATTCTTCTTCTGAATCAGTAGGCCACACATGTATTACTTACTGTCACTGTCAACATAAAATCTCCTAAAAATAACGTAACAAAATCTCTTACCAATCTTATAGCTTAAAAGAAAAAACTTTTTATTCACTAGCAGCCAAAAGTTTGGAGACACCTGAATGAATGGGCATTTTTAGCAGTCTAAAAGACATTTTGATCTAAAGGTCTGCGCTTAAATGCAAATGATGCCTACATACAAAGTTATTTCCAAAGCAAAAAGGTTAAATGAAAAAAACATGAAGCCCCTCCAAAAAGCCCCCCATCTATCCCTAAAATCAGCAACAGCAAGATCTGACTGTATGTGTATCTTCCTCAGTCCTGTTGCAAAACATCTCAGGTGACTTTTATAAAGCTACATGAAAGAGTACTGCATCAGTGCAAAGGGTGGGGTGGGGGGGCTGAATATTGGTAGTGATAGTTTTATGATAGTGATGATATATTGCACATACATGTTGGATATAGGGAAACATATGTAGACATTTTTCTGCCACATGAAAGGACATATTTCATATACATTTTTGAACATGTAAATATGTACATGCACACACTTCTGTACAGGGATCCAAGGTCATCCTCCTTTTGCTCTTTCTGATCATTAGACATTGTGACCAAGAACAGAAGCGTCATAAACCTTGGTGTCTTAGAGGGGCATCTTGCTGGGCAGCTTTCAATTTCAGTTGTCTCGCGCTGTTGAGTTACAGCTA